AGGGAAAGTGTCCCAACCCTTTTATCATTCTGTCAGAGCTCTCTGTCAGATTCTTCCACAATCATGCTCTCAAAATGCAGGTCAAAATATGGGAAAGACTGGGGCAAGTGATGCTCTGTATTCTTGGTGCTTGGGGAGGGGGCAACAGTGGGAGAGCTTCTAGTGTCCTGGCCCCACTGGTGGACCTCCTGATGGCCCCTGGTATTTTTGGCCACTGTGTGACGCAGACTGTTGGACTGGATGGGCCTGATCCAACATTGGCTTCTCTTATGTTCTTATGCTAAAGCCCCACTCTGCAGAAGACGAGAGCTCTCCTCTCATTTCTCCCAGGGAAGGGCAGGTGGCAGGTGGGAGGGAGCTCTCCCTATATGGCAAAGGTGGAAAGCAGAGGCAGTGACCAACCACCGATGCAAGGAAGGCGTGATTTCAGACAGGGACTGGAGCAAAAAGGTGGGGCCCGTAGGAGGGACTCCCAGGCATATGGACCAGCAGTGGAAGAAGGTTAGAGCAGTGGGGGAAATTCTCCATTCTACAAAGAAATTCCAAATCATAGTTCTCTGCCTCCCCCTCCCCACGGCTTCAGTACCCCCCTGTATTTAGTCAGCTGCTCACCTGCACGTCAAAGTGGCGATGTTGCAGCAGCGACAAAAATAAAGTGAAATGAAACCCAAAATCGTCGTCAGCAAATGGGTCTTTCCACTGCTCTGATATTTTTGGCGTCTCTTCGCATAAGCCACTCAGGATCCAGGGAGCTGGCAGGAGGAACTGCCTCTGTGTTCTGCCAGGCAGAAATGGCTCACCACTGATGTCTGACCTCTTCAGCCCTACCTCTTGGGGAACATCTGCCAACCCTTTCCATTAAGAAGGGCCCTCGGCTGCCTTGCCTCCCCCATAACTTGAAGTTCAGGGTCGTTTAAGGTGCTGAGCACAGGGGTATTGTTGGAGTTTCAAGCTGCTTACACTTCAGTCATTACAGAGTTAAGTGTTGTTTGTTAGGAAACAGGATGTTACGTTACATAATGTATTCTACGGCGGGAAAGTTTGTGGGAGTTGCTTACCCTAATGAAGTGACCTGTAACCTTTGTATTGGTCAATTAAAAACTTGCTTGTGGAAATGCTTTGATCTAGCATTAATATATTCACAAGGTTTATAGCTCTTTGTGTGTGAAACAGACAGGAAGCTCCCACTAGAAGCCAAGATAGATAGATAGAAAGATGTACCTCTTAGCAAGTAGTACTGAAAGTGACTGTAAGCATGTAACCTTTTGTTTTATTTCTTTTATCCAAAGTACCTTACCCATGCTTTATTTTGTTTTGTAGTAAAGATATTTTTCTTTTACTAATGTGACTCTTGTGTTTGCAAAACGACCATCGATCTTGAATCTCAGAATCCCAACAGGTATACACATGAATATGTGACGCTGCCTTATATTGAATCGGTCCATCAACGTCTACTCAGACTGGCAGCAGCTCTCCAGGGTTTCAGGCTGAGGTCTTTCCCATCACCTACTGCCTGGTCCTTCTAACTGGAGACGCTGGGGATCGAACCTGGGACCTTCTGCACGCCAAGCAGAGGCTCTGCCACTGAGCCCTAGTGGTCTCTTCCTTTGCATAAGGGCCTAGAGCTCCTGCTGGAACTTGGAAAATCCCCACTTCTATCCATTTATTTTAAAACCAGTTCTGTTTACATTACTGCATGAGGTTCAAGGATACATTCTGACGCGTGGACTGTGGTTGAGCTCCTGCTTTTGGCATGCAGAAACTCCCAGGTTCAATCCTTTTATTTATATTAGTTATAGTCCGCCTTTCTCACAGGGACCCAAGAAGGATTCCACATAGTGAGTCAGCACAATCGACAAAACGTTTCAAGTCGATAACCAATGCATTAAGGTTCTAGAAGTCTGGAACCAGCAGAAAGAACTGAAGCAGAGCATCAGTATTCACACAGTACATTAAGCGGTACAGAAAATTACATAATCCTTGGCATCTCCAGTTGACAAAAGGATCTCAGCAGATGTTGAGAAAGACCTTCCTCTGCCTGAGACCTTGGAGAGCGACTGCCGGTCGAAGCAGACCATACCGAGCGAGACAGACGGATGGCCTGATTCCATGGAAGGCAGTTTTTGCATGCACCTTTCCGCACTACTTGGGCAATGACAAGAAGCTGTGGACCACACAAGATGTGGCCGCTGTTTGGCTCTTCCCCACACCGCAGTATTGCAACTTCTGGGAATTAAAAAGCTGGTTTGGAAAGGCGGACAGGCCATGAATTTTCCCCACATGGTCTGGGACTTCTGACGTTAGATGAGTGATACAAAAAGATGTATTGCGATGATTCCCGTGCTGAGAAGTTGAAGTCTCAAAGTGCTCTTACATGTACGAGAAAACATGTTTTTAAAAAGTGGTTTTGTGCTTTTTGTTAGAGTGGACCAAAAAAAAAAGAGAGAAAAACTCAAGGGATCTCATGCTGCAACGATTGTATTCAGTCTCAGATTTAAAACAACTCAATTTTCTCCAACCCCCCCCCCAAAAAAAAACACATAGCCATGTGATAACCTTTTAATGATACCAACCAAAATGGCAACGCACAGTGGGAGAGCTTTTGCATTTTCCGGAACTCTTCATTGAGCTGAATGTTAAGGGGGAAAGGGGGAGGGTTGTATTTTCCAGGCTTCTTTCTGTGCACCATGGGCAGGACGTTTTGCAGGCTTCAGTAGGCATAGAATATGGCTAGCTGCTATCAGGCCGCGCTCTTGGAATGCTGGGAAAACAAAACAAAACAAATAGATCAATCCTGGAGAAAATATGACAATCAATGGTCAATCAATAGTCAGTCAAATGTCTCTCTGATGCCAACTGGAAAGACATTTCCCCCTACGGTTGCCAATCTCCAGGTAGCACCTGGAGACCCCCTGGAAGTACAGCTTATCTCCAGACCAGTGCCCCCTCTAAGCTGTGCACGTGAGCGGTCGTTCTTGAACACAGGAAGCCCCGCTCAGCAGCCGTCTGGAGCTGCGGGAGGTCTTGCACTCCCCATTGCCCACTTTAAAATTACCAAAGACCAGGGCTTTTTTGGTAGAAAAAGCCCAGCAGGAACTCATTAGCATAATAGGCCACACCCAACAGCAGAAACTCATTGGCATATTAGGCCACACCCCCGACAACACAGTTCATTGCCATATTAGGCCCCCCCTCCATGTTACCAGAAGTTAGGTCATCCAGCCACACCCACCTTTTGCCTCTTATTCTGTTCAGCTTGTTTGTTGTCAAAACCCGGGGCGGGTTTTTTTGTAGCAAGAACCCCTTTGCATGTTAGGCCACACACCCCTAATGTAGCCAATCCTAATAAGTTTCTGCTGTTGGGTGTGGCCTATTATGCTAATGAGTTACTGCTGGGCGTGGCCAACTTGGGAGCCAGCCGGAACTCCGTTCCTATGCGTTCCTGCTCAAAAATAGCCCTGCCAAAGACAATAGGGAACCCTTAGTGTAGAAGTATAGCCATAAACAACACCCACCAAGTAAAGACCATCTACAATTCACAACTATGTTCAAAACTATATATTATATTCATTGAAATGCAAAGAAGGGTTAGTGGTCACAACCCGATAGTGTGTATAGATCATTGAAACACTTGATTTATACCCAGGAGAGGCATTTGACTGTTATTCTTTCCACAGTGGGAGTCTTCTGTTGCAGTCACTTTCTGTTTGGAGGTCTATGGACACTATATATGGAATATCAGAAGAGCCTACTGTTGGTTTTGAATATATTCCTTGTTTAAACTATGCTTGGTGTAGTGGTTAAGTGCGCGGACTCTAATCTGAGAGAACCGGGTTTGGTTCCCCACTCCTCCACTTGCACCTGGCAGGATGACCTTGGGCAAGCCGTAGCTCGGATAACAGCTGTTCTTGAAAAAGAGCAGTTTCTGTCAAAGGTCTCTCAGCCCCACCTACCTCACAGGGTGTCTGTTGTGGGGAGGGGAAGGGAAAGGAGTTTGTAAGCCACTCTGAGATTCCTCCCTGTGCCTTCCCTGGCCTGTCCAAGGGCTGGCTTACACGGGCTCCCCACAGCCGCAGGGTGCCCAGGCAAGCCAAGGGACTGCATGGGTGTGTGGCCTGATATGCTAAGGAGCGGTGTGCTGTCAGGGGTGTGTCCTAATATGCTAATGAGATCCTGCTGTTGGGTGTGGCCTGTTATGCTAATGAGTTCCTCCTGGGCTTTTTCTACAAAAAACCCCCCTGCATCCCCTGATTTCCCCCCGTGTCTTCTTGAGCCTTGTTTTTTGAGATCGAGAAGACGCGGGGGAAATCGGGGGATGCTGCAGGTCAAAATGCGGCCGTGCAGCAAGTAGTGGGAAATTGACAAATACAATGGGCGGGGGGGAAGAGTGAGGGCGGCGCAGCTGCTTTTGGGAAATCGGTCTATGATGCTATGAGAGCTAGTGTGGTGTAGTGGTTAAGAGCAGCAGACCTTAATCTGGAGAACCGGGTTTGATTCCCCACTCCTCCACATGCGGCCAGCTGGGTGCCCTTGGGTCAGTCACAGTTCCCTCAGGGCTCTCTCAGCCCCACCTACCTCACAGAGTGTCTGTTCTGGGGAGAGCAAGAGAAGGTGCTTTGAGACTCCTTCGGGTAGTGAAAAGTAGGGTATAAAAACCAACTCTTCTTGTGCTATACATCGAGGTCCCTCCCCTCCAGTGTTCCCTCTAAGCTGAGTTAGTGTGAGCTAGCTCACGGTTCTTTAGCCTCCAGCTCACACATTTTCGTCTCCGCTCAGGAAGGGATGGCTCCAGGGCAAACTAATTCATGCAGCAGCCAAATAGCTCGCTCACAACTTTAATGCCGGTAGCTCACAAAGTAGAATTTTTGCTCACAAGACTCCGTAGCTTAGAGGGAGCATTGGTCCCCTCCCCAGGCTCCGCCCCCCAAATCAATCTCCAAGTATTTCCCAACCCAGAGCGGGCAACTCTAATCCCCCCTGTTCTTCCCCCTATATTCTAGATCATAAGAAGTTCCTTTGAAGGGAGTGTTTTCTCCTTGAGCCAAGAATGGCCAGAAGTCCCGCTCTGTCCTGGACCGTCCTCCCCTTCGGCCTGCTCTTCTTAGTCCACGGAGTCCACTGCTTGTTCCTGCCCAATGCCACCCACCTGGAAAGCCTCCTGAGCCGGTACCAGGATCGACAGCCCCACTCGAGGACCAAGAGGGCCATCTCCAGATCGGACAAAGAGGAGATCCTGATGCTTCATAATAAGCTGAGAGGCCAAGTCTATCCTTCGGCCTCCAACATGGAGTACATGGTGAGTTGAAAATGCCGAGCGAAGCCGGGCACACGGCAAGGCCGCTTTCGCTACTCCCACTTCCCTTAAAGTCTTGAGACATGCTGCACTTCTTTAGTAGGAAGAGCCCTGCTGGGCCAGACCGGTGGTCATCTAGTCTAGCGCCGATCTCACGCAGTGGCCAACCAGTTCCTCTGTCTGGAGGGCCAACGCCAGAGTATAGAGACCGAGGACTTCCCATGATGTTGCCTCCTGGCAGTGTTTTCTGGAGGTGGACTGCCTCTGAATGTGGAGGTTCCCTTTAGCCACTATGGCTAGTAGCTGCCGATAGACCTAGCTTCCCCAACCCCCTTTCTTTCCAAGGGGTTGACGAAACACAAGTCCAACGGACCTTCTTCAGATCTGAAGGAATGAGCTGTGCCTCATGAAAGCTGATATTGAAATAAATGCTGTTAGGCTTTAAGGTGCTTTAAGGTGCTGGGCTTCTGTTTGGTGTAGTGGTTAAGTGGGTGGACTCTAATCTGGGAGAACCGAGTTTGATTCCCCACTCCTCCACTTGCAGCTGCTGGATGACCTTGGGCAAGCTGTAGTTCTGATGAGAGCTGTTCTTGAAAAAGAGCAGTTTTTGTCAGAGCTCTCTTAGCCCCGCCTACCTCACAGGGTGTCTGTTGTGGGGAGGGGGAGGGAAGGGAAAGGAGTTTGTAAGCCGCTCTGAGACACCTTTGGGTAGTGAAGGGCGGGGTATAAATCCAATCTCCTCCTCCTCCTCCTCCTCCTCCTTCTTCTTCTTCATTTTTCTACAACAGGCCAAAAGGCTGCCCCTTTGCAATTCACACACGAGGTACAGATTTCTTAGATCTGAACGCCTGAGTGTTGTTTGCAAGCCTCTTGAGTCGAGATCTCACAGGACCTAGAATGTGGCTGAAACTGGGTACAGATCTGTGGAAGACCTCTGGCTGGTGTGTTAGGAGAATGTATGGGTGCCAACCTTCAGGTGGTGGCTGGAGATCTCCGACTATTACAACTGCTCTCCAGGCGAAAGAGTTCAGTTCATCTGGAGAAAATAGCTGCTTTGGAAGGTGGTCTCTATGGCATTAAACCCCATGGAAGTCCCTCCCTTCTCCAAATCCCGCCCTCCTCAGGACCCACCCACAAAATCTCCAGGTATTTCCCAACCTGGAGCTGGCAACCCTAGGCGAATACCACATTATGATAAATCTGGGCTACTTTTAAAATTAGCAGTGTAATATGTTGTAAACACGTTGAGACGCGCCGTTTGATCTGGTGTTGTGACGGTTCAGTAATGGATTTTATCTGCTCGATCACACAGTCAACATCTGCCTTCCATCCCCAGCCGTTGGTTTCCGGCTCAAAACCACTTTAACCCAGAGTATTTTGTTACCAGGTCCCAAAGTGGTGTTTTCTCAGCTCTCCTGTTTAAAGCCACATTTTCCCTCTGTGTGATCACTCCTCTGATGTCAAGCCACTTCCGGTTTAAACCCCCTTCCCGCTCGAAAGCTGCCCGAGGCTTCCGCTTTTCACCCGTCATTTTGTTTATGTGTTGGCGGTGTGCGCATAGGCGGAGCTCCACCACTGCGTTTAGAAAACTGGCATTTGTTTTAGCGTTTAGATGAGTTTGGGATCTCACGGAGGCCATTTTCGGGTCAAACATTTAAATGGAAGTCTTTTGTTGGTGGGGTTAGGATTGATTTGCCCTGGTGGTTCTGCACATGCGCCATGATAGTTCCCCCCCATTCTACGTATGAGTGCCTATGCGCATGTGCAAACAGAAATTTTTTTAAAAAACCGCCAATGCATGCTTCCGCACGTCAGTAGTGTAGATAGCGGGGAGCATTGCGACTGCGCGGTAAAGCGGGATAAGGGAGGTAAGTGTGATCGCGATTATCCAGATCAAATATAATCCAGTCAGAACCGGAGCAGTTTAACCTGCTCTCAGCACGCCGTCTGACCGCACCGGCAGTGTCTTGCTAGATCAAGATGGATGATCATCAGGAGGAGGAGGGTGGGTTTTTCCCTGTCCTCATAGTATTACCAACTCCAGGCTGGGAAATTCCTGTAGATTTGGGAGGCAGAGCCTGTGGAGGGTGAGGTTTGGGGAAAGGAGGAAGCTCTGTAGGGTAAAATACCATAGAGTCCACCCTCCGAAAGCAACCATTTTCTCCAGGGGAGATTGACTTCTGTAGCCTGGACGTCAGTTGCAGTTCTGTGAAATCTTCAGGCCCCTCCTGGAGAATGGCAACCTTACTCATTGGCTACAGCTCTTTAGGGTAGAGAAATGCACAATGATGTGTCATCAGTTTCAGGGATCCTCACAAGCAGGGCTTTTTTGGTAGAAAAAGCCCAGCAGGAACACATTAGCATAATAGGCCACACCCAACAACTGAAACTCATTAGCATATTAGGCCGCACCCCCATGTTACCAGAAGTGTGGTCATCCAGCCACACCCACCTTTTGCTTCTTATTCTGTTGACCTTGTCTGTTGTCAAAACCCAGGGCCTTTTTTTGTAGCAGGAACTCCTTTGCATGTTAGGCCACACACCCCCTAAGGTAGCCAATTCTAATGAGTTTCTGCAGTTGGGCGTGGCCTGTTATGCTAATGAGTTCCTGCTGGGCGTGGCCAACTCGGGAGCCAGCCGGAACTCCGTTCCTGTGCGTTCCTGCCCAAAAATAGCCCTGCTCACAAGTAGAGTTGCCAACCTCCAGGTGAAGCCTGGGAATCTCCCGGAATTGCCACGGATCCCCAGACGACAGAGATCAGTTCTCCCAGAGAACATGGCTGCTTTGGAGGGTGGACACCCGATGGCATTACCCCACTGAGGTTCCTCTCCTCCCCAAACCCTGCCTTCCCCATGCTGTACCCCATAATCTCCAGGAATTTCCTAACCCAGAGCTGGCAGACCTGTGGGGATGGGACCGCAAAACACAAGGGTGTGACTATTGGTGGCTCCTCCGTGTTTATCGTAACGTGTCATTCCATCCCAGGACGTGGCCCTGAGGCTAACCTCATCCCCCTCTCCTTTAGGCCGCCAGCCTGAAAGAAATTCAAGTGTGAGCCGATTTCCCCTCAAGTCAAAATTCAGCTCCGGTTTCTGCTTCTTGAGTCATTTCAGCTGGAAAGGAACTGTTAGTAGGTCAGGTCAACCCAGCCCTCTGCTGAGCAGGCACTCATGAGTTGTACGGAGCCTCCTCCTTGGCTTTTCGTCACTCGCTGGTGTGACCAAGAAGTGGAATCCAGTGTGGGGTTATTCAGGGATACGCTTGGTTCTGAATGTCTTTTAGTCTGGAGTGAACCGTTGTCAGATAGTCTGAGAGCAGAGATGCAATTTTCACACGTATACCCCACATTCCTTCCCTACTTCTTAGTTCGGGGGCCAGGGGGCTCTCAAAAGAGAAGAATGCGACTAATGTTGTGAGTGTGTTACTGCGTTGTCAGGTCACTTCTCACTTACGGTGACCCTGTGAACCAATGTCCTCCGGAACGTCCTGTCACCAACAGCCTCGCTCAGGTCTTGCAAACTGAGCCGTGTGGATGCCTTGACGGAGTCACTCCATCTCGTGTTGGTGTAGTGGTTTGGTGTAGTGGTTAAAGTGTGCGAAGTCTAATCTGGGAAAACCGGTTTTGATTCCCCACTCCTCCACATGCAGCTGCTGGATGACCTTGGGCAAGCTATATAGTTCTGTCAGAGCTGTCCTTCAAACAGCAGTTTCTCTCAGAACTCTCTCAGCCCCACCTACCTCACAGGGTTTGTAAGTCGCTCTGAGACTCCAAGTGAAGGGTGGGGTATAACTCCAATCTCTTCCTCCTCCTCCTCTTCTTCTCTCAGAGCCCCGCCTACCTCACAGGGTGTCTGTTGTGGGGAGGGGAAGGGAAAGGAGTTTGTAAGCTGCTCTGAGACTCCGAGTGAAGGGTGGGGTATTAACTCCAATCTCTTCCTCCTCCTCCTCTTCCTCCTCCTTCTCTTCCTCTTTTTCTTCCTGCTGCCTGCAACTTGTCCTGGCGTTACTGTCTTTTCCAGTGACTCTTCTCTTCTCATAATGTGACCAAAGGACAACAGCCTCAGTTTAGTCATTTCAGTTTGTAGGGAGGGTTCAGGCTGAATTGATCTAGAACCCACTGACTTGTCTTTTTGGCAGTCCGCAGTATCGACTAACTAGCAACTAACATTAGTTTATATCACCGGGGGCTTTTTTCCATGGGGGAACACGGTCAGACGGCGTTCCGGAAGCTCTTTGGCAAAATTCTTTTTCAAATGTTTAAAAGCTCATGAGTGTTCAGTGCACAGACTGAAAACTTCATTTCCCTCTCGAGAGTTTCGGCACCTCTTCTCCCAAAATAAAAGCGCTGATTCTTACCACAGGTTTTGGCAGAATGCGTGTCTGTTATGTAGTCAGCGAGGACTCTGACCTCTCGGTGCCTTGGGAAGAAAGTAGGACCCACAGAATTTCTTGTGGGCTCCTCAGCTTCCCGAGGTGGAATGGCTGGCTGCTAAGGACCGGGTTGGATTGCCAACTTCAAGGTGGGGGCTGGAGATCCTCTAATATGGCATAATCAGGGGTCATTTCCCACTGGAGCGCACAGGAGCAGAGCTCTGGGAGTAAAGAGCCCAGGGGACGGGCACATGAAACAAGCCCCACCCCCTGCTCCCAGCAGCCCCAGGCCACAAGGAGCAAGAAGCAGCCAGGTACGTTGCAGAGCCCCCCCCCCCCCCGGTCCAAAACAGTCCAGTGGCACCTTTAAGACCAAGTTTTATTCAGGCACAAGCTCTCCCTCCTCTGCAAGGACAGATCTGCACCCCCCCCCCCAATAGCTAGCAATCCAAAACAGTCCAGTGGAGCCTGAGCGGTGGGTGTTGCCTTCTGACACACTTCCAGTGATGTCAGGGGGTGTGGCATATGCAAATAAGTTATGCTAATGAGTTATGCTAATGAGCTCCTGCACCTCTTTTTCTACGAAATGACCCCTGGGCATGATGATTTATTGGATTTATTAATCACCCCA